CCAACGATCGAATCTCGGGCAAGTAACATACCGATGGACAAAGGGAATTGTATACGAGATTGATTGAATCCCTGACATCGTGCTTCATCCGATGAGATCATTGTGGTTCATCCGATGAGATCATCATGGAACATGTGGGAGCCAACATGGGTATCCAGATCCCGTTGTTGGTTATTGGCCGGAGAGATGTCTCGGTCATGTCTGCATGGTTCCCGAACCCGTAGGGTCTACACACTTAAGGTTTGATGACGCTAGAGTTGTCATGGGAAATTGTATGTGGTTATCGAAGGTTGTTCGGAGTCTCGGATGAGATCCCAGACATCACGAGGAGTTCCAGAATGGTCCGGAGGTGAAGATTTATATATGGGAAGTCCAGTTTCAGTCGCCGGAATGGTTTCGGAGGTTATCGGTATTGTACCGGGACCACCGAAAGGTGCCCGGGGGTCCACCTGGTGGGGCCACCTGCCTCGAAGGACTTAATGGGCTGAATATGGGATGGAACCAGCCCCCTAGTGGGCTGGTGCGCCCCCAAGGGCCCAAGGCGCCTAGGGTTGGAAACCCTAGGGGAGGGGGCGCCTCCCACCTTGCTTGGGGGGCAAGTCTCCCCCTCCTGGCCACCGCCCCCCTCTAGATGCATCTAGGGGTCTGGCCCCCTCTTCCCCCCTATAAATAGTGGGGGGGAGGGCAGCCGCACCCCTTCCCTTGGCGCAGCCCCTCCCTCCTCCAACACCTCCTTCTCCTCCGTAGTGCTTAGCGAAGCTCTGCCGGAGAACCACGAGCTCCACCGCCACCACGTCGTCGTGCTGCCGGAGTTCTCCCTCAACTTCTCCTCTCCCCTTGCTGGATCAAGAAGGAGGAGACATCCCCGGGTTGTACATGTGTTGAAAGTGGAGGCGCCGTCCATTCGATGCTAGATCGGATCTTCCGCGATTTGAATCACCGCGAGTACGACTCCATCAACCGTGTTCTTGTAACGCTTCCGCTTAGCGATCTTCAAGGGTATGAAGATGCACCCCCTCTCTCATTGCTAGCATCTCCTAGATTGATCTTGGTGACACGTAGGAAAATTTTGAATTATTACTACGTTCCCCAACAGTCGGTTCACTTGGGTTGTGCTTCACCATGAAGCACAAGTTTGCTTCGCGGAAAAGCACAACTGTGCGTGTGCTTTCGCGAGAAAGCATGGTAGTGCTCCCCAAAAGAAAAAAATACAGTCGCGCTTCTGATTATTTTTTGGGGTTTCATTTTCTTTCTGGTTTTCATTTTTTTTCCTTTCTTATTTTTTTGTTTTGTTTTTGTGGGGTGTTTTGGAGAAAAAAGTTAGTTTAAACCTCCTAACATGTGATTTATTTTCAAAAATCTCGACGCGAGAAACATAACAGTGAAAACTGTCCGTGATATGGACGCATGGTTCAAGAGATAAAATGTTTTAAAAGAAATGAATCAATGAAAAAACACAAAACTCTCAGATTGCGACAAGTGTCACACATCCAGCGAGCCAATTGTGTCTACCACTTAATCTCCATCTCTATAATACTTGAAGAAACATATTCACTCTTTCCTTCGTCCAACATCTCTTTATATATGGTGTCGCCTTCCCTTATCATGTTTGGTTTTTTTCCCTCTCATCTTTGATTTTTCTCCCATCTAATATTGTTCTTTGATAAATTAATAAACTCTTACCAAATAAGTGCTTAACAGTAAGATTTCATTTCCCCTCCCCTCTCGGACAATTCTCCTAAATAATACAACCTCTGTAAACAAGTCTCTACAACGTCATTTTCTTTTACAAAGGGAGTATTTTCTTTGGTAAGTCAAGAAATTCTTATCAAAAACGTTTTCAACAATAAGATAACGGATAAATCATGGCAATTGCATACAAAAAACTTACTAAGATTTTAGGGCGGAAATGTAATATTATCTCCGTGTCAAAATATAAGAAGTTTTTTAGGCTACACAAACTACAAAAACGTCTTATATTTTGATTTTTTATAGAAAAATTGGTCTTATATTTTGATACGAAGGGAGTAAAAAACATTCAATTATGGGATGAACTACTGGAATGAATTGCAATGCACGGGTAAATTATCCAGTCACTACAAAAGAAGATAAGAGTGACATTCTTTTTAGAATCGAGTGACATTTTTTTGAGATAGAGAATCGAGTGACATTTAGGCCAACTCCACCGCACGACCCCATCCTGTCTGCGCGCGTCCGTTTGGGGTAAAACGGACGAATAGCGCGGCCCAGCGTGCCGCCTGAAACAGACAAATGTCCGGATTCCGTCCGTTTTCGACCCATCTCGACGCGTGCGGACGGCCTGGACGCATGCCCTTGTCCCCCCGTGGCCCGCCTGTCGGGGACACTAGCAGTCCCTCCATTCCCAACACTTTCACCCTCCGCCGGCGCCGCCGCTATTCTCCGGCCGCTTCCTCACCGCGCAGCCCCCGACCGTCCCTACCAAACCATGTCTCGACATGGCCACTACCACGCCCGCGCTTTGGCCGTAGTTTTGGCCGTCGATCGGAGGTTTGGCCGTCGCCGTCTTTGTCGGTCACAGAGGGGAGACGACCGCCGGCGACGTACCACGGCGGCCTCGGCAGCTTCCGACGAGAGCTCCAGAGCGGCCAGTAGCCGGCCGGCAACCACCCCTGCCGCGTTGAGGTGATCATCGCGGCCTCTTCGCCACCACGACTGCAAGATATTCGGCATTTTGCCCACAAAGGTATGGACAGTGGAGACGAGTTTTTCTTCCATCACTTCCTTTGTTCATCGGATAATTCATCGTCGGATGATGAAGATCTTGTGGTGGCTGCACTGGTCGTTCACGACCACATTCAACGGTAGCTTCCTCGGTACAGGGGGTCAGTCCCTAGTTGTGCTCCCAACCTGAACCGCAACAGGGAGAGAGGCCACGCCCTGCTCTATGCTGATTACTTTGCCAACACCCCGCTCTTCAAGCCGGATAAATTCCGCCGCCGTTTTCGAATGGCAAGGCATGTGTTTAATCATATCCGAGAGGGAGTGGTTGCTCATGGCCCATACTTCGAGTGCAAGACGGATGCCCTGGGCAAGCTTGGATTCTCCTCTTACCAGAAATGCACCGCGGCCATCCGCATGCTTGCATATGTAATTTCAAGCGATCTGGTGGATGAGTATGTCCGTATGAGTGAGACAACATGTCTGATGTCAATGTCTAAGTTTTGCCAGGCGTGATCGAGGTGTTTGGCCCAAAGTACTTGAGGCAGCCAACTGCCGCTGATACAGAGAGATTGTTGGCGACCAATGCAGCTAGAGGCTTTCCAGGCATGCTTGGTTGTATAGATTGTATGCACTGAGAGTGGAAGAACTGTCCATTTGCTTGGCAGGGCCAGTACAAGGGGCATGTCAACGGGTGCACTATCATATTAGAAGCGGTGGCATTGCAGGATCTTTGGATATGACATTCTTTCTTCGACATGGCAGGTTCTCACAATGATATCAACGTGCTGCAGCGTTCTCCAGTCTTCGCGAGGCTTGCAGAAGGCCACTTCCCACCTGTCAACTTTGAGATCAATGGCCACCAGTACAACAAGGGATACTATCTAGCAGATGGTATATATCCTCAGTGGTCAACTTTTGTGAAAACAATCTCGAAACCCCAAGGTGAGAAGAGAAAGAGATTTGCCCAAATGCAAGAGAGTGTTAGAAATGATATGGAACGTGCTTTTGGTGTACTTCAATCCCGGTGGGGTATCGTTCGAAACCCTGCACTGTCATGGGATGAAAGGAAGCTTTGAGAGGTGATGACTGCTTGTGTGATCATGCATAACATGATCGTCAAGGACGAGCGTGATGAGAGTATCTTCGACCAAGGATTTGATTATCAAGGTGAAAATATTGAGCCCCTGCACCAAGACCCGGCCACATTTAAACATTTTGCCCAATTCCATCGTGAGATGCGTGATTGACACTCATTTGAATCTTCAAAATGACTTGATTGAGCACGTGTGTGATCACATTGGCAACCAATAGATGTATTGGTCCATTTTATGTTCAGTCACGACAATTTCGATTTGGTTGTAAAATTATTATAATTTTCAGACAAATATTTGGGTTGTAAAACTAGTTTTGATGAAAATATAGGCATTTTGGCCTTGACGGACTGGATGGGACAAAGGGATGGGGCCGCGCGCTGGGCGCACGGCCACCGCATCCCAGGACACGTCCGGACACGACTCCATCGCCATATCCAAACGTACAGAATCCGGACAAAACGGACGTCCATTTGAGGTCGCGCGGTGGAGTTGGCCTTATAAGGGGTACGCTATAGCAAGTGATCTTCACACTTTTCTGGGCCTCGCATGTCATTTGAGGTCATGTTTTGCAAGCCTGGCCTAAACCCAGCCCGGCCCAGACAATACCCAAGTCTTGCGGGTGAGCCTGAAAAGTTCTTCTAATCGGAACCGCGTGTCTCCCTCGCTCGCGCGCCGTCCCGTTGGTCCCAGTCCCACATGGCAGCCACGGCCCTCGAACGAAACTCCAGGCTTCTGCCGCATTCTCTCCCGTGATTCGAAACCAAAACCCTCGCCGTCCCATTCCCCTCCCTCTCCGGAGCTGCGAGCAGAGGGCGGCGGCGGCGTGAGGCGGAGGGCGCGGAACGAATTGGGGATCCTGCACCGAGGAGCCCGATTCCACAGGTAAATCCTCGCCGTTTCTTCTCGCCGGTCCCGCCCTGTTCGATCCGACCCTAGCCGCTCCACCCAATTCGGTTCTAGTTCGAACCGAGAACCCCGCGTACGGCGACTGCTCTCCTCGCCCATCTAAACCGGAATTAGGGGCAGCGCCAAGCAATTGCATGGAAATTAATCGCCGCCGCGTTCTGTTTTATTGACAGGTCAACCCAGGCGAACTATTCACCATCGTGCAGCTTAGCACCGAACCTCGACCTCAAGGATCTGCTGTTCTTCAGCAAGTGAGCACCGAGCTTGGTTTGGAAGCACAGCTCACTGGTTCTGATCATGGATGCCAATTCTGCCGGCACTGATGTATCTGCTGATCATGTCATTGCCGAGTTGCTCGAGATGGGGTTCGAGTTCGACAAGATCAGTGAAGCCATCGGTGTTGTCGGTCCGTGCCGTGCTGACGTGGTGGAGTTTGTGCTGAATGGTTCTGGTAGTGCACAAAGAAAGCCAGGTGGGGGGTCGCAAAGACGCTCTTCTGACAGGAGTGCTAGACTGGCTAATCCCAGGGGGAAATTTAAGCAGTCTAGCATTACTGATCATATCGCGTCAACCACTGGCAGTAAAACCGAGTCTTGTGGCGAGGAGCCAAGTACCTCATATTCTTGTTTAGCGGCCAACATGAACCCTGCATCGACTGCTGCTCTCTGTTTTCAACCAAAGCCAAAACATCAGACTTTGGTTGACGATCCTAGAGGCGAGTTTGACCGGACCGACAAAATTTGTGCTGTTTTGCAAAAGCATTTTGGATTCTCCTGTGTGAAGAGTTTCCAAAAGGAAGCCTTGGATGCTTGGTTTGCTCACAAGGATTGTCTTGTTCTAGCAGCAACTGGATCAGGTAGTTTATTATTATACAATCTCTATATTGTTATGCAAGGTTTGAGGCACCTGTAATAAAATAAATGATGTGAAAATGACCATGTTGGCAGGGAAGTCACTTTGCTTTCAGATTCCAGCTCTTTTGACTACGAAGGTTGTGGTGGTGATCTCACCCTTGATTAGTTTGATGCACGACCAGTGCCTAAAACTTGCAAAACATGGGATATCAGCATGCTTCCTTGGATCAGGGCAACCAGATAATCGTGTTGAGGGCAAAGCCATGGCTGGCATGTATAAGATTATTTATGTTTGCCCCGAGACAGTTTTAAGGTAATCATTCTGCTTTTGATTGCTAAAATTGATTCATTGGTCATCATGCTTACTCGGGAAGTTCTGTACATGCAGACTGATGGAACCATTGAAGAAACTTGCAGAAAAACCAGGGATCGCACTTTTTGCCATTGACGAGGTTCATTGTGTTTCTAAATGGGGTCATGATTTCCGACCTGATTATAGGTCTGCTCTTGTATTCGATATCCTATATTAAAGGTGCAAATCAGTATCTAGCACTGTTTTTCATCATTACTTGTTAGTTTGTGACCTGCACTTCAGTGAGATAATATTTGGTTTGGTACTTAAGAACCAACTAGACTCTTCTATGTTCTTGCAGTGTTTTACAGCTCTAGTATTTAAGTAAACATTATCTCCCCCCCTACAGGAAACTGTCTGTGCTTCGACAAAATTTCTGTTCCAGCAAATTGAAGTTCTTGGAACATGATATTCCTTTGATGGCATTGACTGCTACTGCAACTCTCCCTGTACGAGAAGACATTCTCAAGTCCTTGAAAATGTCAGAACTTACAGTGGTTGTCTTGACGTCCTTTTTCCGACAAAACCTTCGATTTAATGTGAGTAAATCTTTTTATTTTTTCATGTTCTGTCCAGAGGATTACATTGTGGTATGCTGTGTCAAACTGTAGAGTTGGAATCCCCTTGATCTTACTAACCACTAAAATACATGCAAGAGAATTTAATGGTTGGGATGTAAAATTGTGTTGGTATATCTAATAACAAATGGTTTGGTGTTCATAGCCATAGATGGACATCTGAATGTGCATTCGCTTATGTCTTAATTACTAGGATCCAAATACCTTCATTTCCTGTAATTGAACTATTCTTTCCTTTGGAGCGGTATAGTTGGAGCTACATAGGTGAATTGCAGTCTTTTGAAGCTTCCTACCGATTGTCTCATGCAATCTCCCCCCCCCCC